CATGTTTTCTATCACAAATATGCCACCTCTTATAGTTCAGAGTGTTTCTGCCCAGGGCACACCTGAAGGGATTCTGGACAGCATGTATACCAAAATGCTGATGGGTATGAAATTTACTTTGTCTAAGACCATTCTAAAGGACACATACAAAAAATATAAGTTGGAGTGAAGGCAGTTCGCATTTTCAAATTGTAAGGATACCCACAGATTTTTCTGAGCACGTTAAACCCTCAATAGAAGGAAACAGGAGAGGAAGAAACACCAAGAGCAATGATTCCACATTGAGGAGATCCACAAAGAAGGAGGCAAGGTAGGAGACTTCCAAGTGGAGTGTGGTGTCATCCTCCTTGATTTATTCCAGGAACACATTAGAAAAGCCCTATGGTCCCCACCTCTAGGCACGCTTAGCTGCTCAAGTTACCACAAACAGATGCCAGCTGGGAAACAGGGAAGCCCGTAGACTCGGCGGTAAAGGTTTTGCATTTGAGAAGAAAAAAAAAAAAAAAAAAAACAAAAACAGCAGACATACCATAAGACACACAAACCAGAGATAATGGCAGGAGAGTGTCCTGTACAAAAAGATGTGGCTGTCCATAAAGACTTAGAACTGAAAATGGCCAGAGCATTTACTTTGTGCTTCTTGGCAGTTTTGGCAGAGCCAGTGTCGATGTCACTCTTGGTTGTGACACCTACTTCTGGACCTGCAAAAAGCCCTAGAAGGGATGGAGGTTTATTCTGATTTGAGTAGACTGTTTGGAGATCAAAAACAAAAACAAAAGACCCTCCCCTTATACTTCCGGCAACTTAAACTCTTTGCCCCAATAAGATCCCAAATTACATGCACAGGGTGTCCCACATGCCTCCAGTGATACCCAAGAAGAACTTGAAGAACCATCCCTTATAACTTGATGAAGACTCCTAAAAGCCCTGATTCAGATGTATTCATCACTCATCGAACAACTATGGATGGCTGGGGGCACAACTAGATGGACATACGTTACATTGTGCTTCATGCCTCACAGATCCCAGCAAGTGGACTGTGTACAGGGCATTTCTGCTGAAGTGCTATGTCTGATTTTCTGCATACGGCCCCATTCCTTTTCCACAAGAGACGCCTGTACCAACCCATGGTGGGGGAAAGGACAAAGATTAGATCCTGAGAAACTTGAGGAATATGGTAATGGCAGCAGACACATTCCTCTTGCATCACAATGGTCTGTGGTACCGCCTCTGCACCTTGGCCCAAGACCTAACAGCAACAAAATAAGGTGAGTGTGTTTTACAAGTCAACTCCTAGTGCTCAGATCATCTTACCAAGTGTTGCAGGTGGAGGGGTTCCGGGTGGCCTCAGGGCCACTAAG